GTGATATTGTGACATTTCGACGGAACGAAGGGTTCTCGTTGGGAAATAAAAACAGTGACGCGTATAGCCTAGATTCTTTCACGAACTGCGTCAAGTTTTTAAAGTACCATTCTTTAGCGATTATAAAATAATACTTCCCTTTATTTAACGATGACAATACTTCTACTGCACGATCAACAACGGCTTCTCAACGAAATTAAATTTGTAGAACTTTTCATATAAAAGTTATGTTAAAATAATTATTGTTAAAGGTTTTAAACGCGAAATATCTTAGATAACCTATTTACAATTCATTTTATCTGCCGTCGGATAATTTTGGATATTTTGCAGGAGCCTCAGTCGCGGGAGACTACCCCCAACAAATTAAAAATAACTTAACGAATATACTTCGCGTATTCAACCGTTAAATGTGTGGTATATAAATGAGAACTGCTCGCTATCTAAGACAGACTAGACAAGGATTTTCTCAAAGTTAATGTTTTGATTTCTCATTCTGAATTCTCTCAGAAGTGCTTTAAATAATCAAATTTCAATACTGTTTACGCGAGTAGTACATATTCAAATAAAACACTGTAACGCAATATATATTAGTAAAACTTATTTTAACTACGGCCCGACGTTTCCGATGCATTGCAGCAGCCGTGGCCACGGCTACTAATATATATCGCGTTTAAACCGTTAAGGTGTTTTATTTAAATTAATGTTACTTTTTATATTACTTATTAAAGTAATATAATTATAGTTAGGTATATAGCCTTTATAATGATTTATTAATTTAAATTTATTGAATTCTTGAGAAGTGCTAACATATGTAATCTAAAACTCGTACTAATTGAATTATTGTTTTTTTTCTTGATTAAACCTAAACAAAGAGAAAATACAAACTCCATGATAAAATCAAACAACATATTTAAGCACGTCTTTCCTGCAATCTTATTTAGTTGAAAAATCTAAAGAGATTTAGCTAAACGTATCTCGCTTCCTCGTTTATATTTTTCACTGTCAGACGTACAGCGTGATGTCGTAGAATTTTTCAGCAGAGTGAACTAGAACTTAGAAAATGTTAAGGGGATTTCATAACAACTTTTTTCTAAATGCACCTAGTACTGGCCGTATATTAAAGTTATGGGGAGGACTTGTGTCGCGTCTTTAATAGGTGAAAGAGGGTTACGTTCATTATGATGGAGAAATAAATATATGTAAATATTTATTAGTATAATTCACTTTACTGTAAATCTACATTAAATCCATTTTAGAGATAAGAGAAGGAAATGATGTATGAAACGGACACAGAATTGTGTCTGACGCTGTCTAGGACCTGGAACCTCTATGTTCTATATTTAATTTAATCATTTTTTGAACAAGTATTGTCTGTAGGTACTTTACGCGAGTAAGGAGTACACATAATAACAAATATAACACTTTTAACAATTATTTTTTTATTTTTTATTTAACTGCGACCCTATATTTCGGATGTTCAGTAATCACAGAACTTGGTAATTTCGCTTTTTAAACCGTTTAATGTGTCTTATTGAAATGATTTGAACACTTTAAATCTTTCCACTGGCTATGACGAGATTATTAAATATGTATGTGTTGCTACTGCTTACAAGCTGTTGATGACTTTGATTATTATCATAAGTGAAGTTATTTCGAGAGAGATATTTTCAAGTGATCGTCGGATCGATCCCCACATGGGGTAAACATTATGTAAGATAAATATTTGTTCCGGTTCGGACTATGTTTCATTTTCGTCCCCTGACACTTCAAATCGATCTTGTATCTCATGTTAGGCTACTAAAGTTTAGTTATTTTACAACACAACACGATTTATTATTTCAAATATGGAATGTTTTCTTTAAAAAAGTATCTTTATAAAGCTGGATATCATTTCTAAGAGTGATTTAGATAATTTAAAGAGGAATTATTCTTTCCTACATATTTTTGGGTGGCTTACGTAAGCTGCGAAAACAACTCAAGTTTTCGCAGCATACCTACCTAAGCCACATAGAGAAGAATAATTTCCCAGGTTCACATTTCCCGTATTTTTTTCTCTTTTGTTAATTGATTGGAGATTAACGCGTTCAAACACACAAACCCTTCAGCTTTATTAGCTAAGATTGGGAATTATAAGATCTTTTAAAAGAGAAAGAATCAAAGGTTGTGATTGAATTTTATCAAGAGATAAATAGGTACTAAAAAAAAAAGTGACTTATTAGGGTTTGTATGTATGTAAGTAAAGCTTTCCACATTAGTGTTACAGAAATCCATAAATAAATAAGCAAAGCGATATATTTTTATTTTTAAAAATTCTTCATTATACATTTACCCTTACACAGCGTGCATTACCGAGACGTGTATATCGTGTATGTGTGTATGTTTTATTTATTCGTCTGCGTCTCGAAGTGGTTGCATTAGCGCCGAATTCACACTTCACATTCGGTGCTGGACAGCTTAACTGCCGGCTGATATATGGCTTCATACTTTAAATACTCGAGCTTTTACGGTTGGTAGCCTATAAACAACGAATGGCCATAATGTAGTTTGGAATTTATTATACTATTCTATTCTACTAATATTATTAGTGCAAAATTTAAAAAGTAGGTTTGGATATCCGACTGAAACCGTAATTAAACTTCACGGCTTTTTCAGCTGTGGATACTGTTCAACCACCTTTTTAATATATAATTTTCCAAACGAAGTCGTGTGTCGGTATTAGTAATAGATTCGAATGTTGGACCCGCTGGGGATCCCTTGGTTGTTAGTCGCACATTGTCTACCAATACATGAACGAACCCTGCCGTAACTAACCGAGCAACAGTGATCATCATTGAGTGAGTAACAGCACGGAATGATGTGGTCTTGGACTTGAGTATCGCGCGCGTCATTGATGTTTTATATTATCTTAAATAATTCTTAATTACAGTTCACAATATATGTATGGAAAAAAAATTGTAATCAACGAACAATTAAGCTCAAAAAGTACTAAATTCTAGTATGGCAAGGAAATATTCGCGCAATAAAGAACTAGAAACGTACAACTCGGATTTCATTAAGATATTTTAATTTAGATTGAACTCCAACGGAAGGATATTTAAGTTTTATCTCATTAGTTAGCCGAGAGCGCCGTTGCTGGCTAGAAAGCTTCATCTGGGAACTTTTACTTTGAAAATCTGAGATAATATTGAAATGGAGTTCTCGGAATCAAGTTCAAATATTTTCTCTAAACTTTTCAATGGATTGAAGTGTTTGGCTTATTTGAAATTGCCCGGGGCTCAGATGGAAGACTTCAAAATAATTGTATAAAACGCGATATATATTAGTTAAACTTATTTTAAAATTATTTAAACTACCTACGGCCCGACGTGTCTAATTCTTTGCAGCAGCCGTGGCCACGGGGAGATTAATTTTCAAATAACTAATAATTACCGCGTTTTGAATTGTTAGTGTTTTATTTAAATATGTACTACTCGCGTTAACTACACAGTATTTAGTTTTTATCAATTTGAAAATCAAATTATGTAAAGAACTTATACCGAACTATCAATTAACATTCTAATGAATGAGAATTAAATTACACAGAGAAGTATTAAGGTAATTCGATGGAAATGTAATAAGCGCATGCTTTTTGATCCTCGGATAAAATGTGAGCAGTGGCTGGCGCCCCACTGGACAAAACACGGATATACATATACTAGATGTACACTTTAGATATTTTCAATTTGCGTACAAAAACAGTATTTGTTATCAAGTGACCAAATAAAGCCTTTTAATATATACACTAATAAATTAATATTTAAATAACACTTCTATGAACTGATAACTTTAAAGTGAAATCTTATAATAGAGCTGTAGCTATATTCAAGAAATAGTAATTTAATTAAATATAGAACAAAGCTAGATATCTCGTAATCGGTTTGGTTTATAATAAAAAGTGGGCTTTTATAACCAGAATCAATTTGCAAATTTTTGCATAAGATATTAGTTGAGATGCAACTTTGCAAGTGTGTCTTTTTGGATCAAAACATGAATCGTGTATTTCCAAGACTAAAACAAAGTAATTTCCTAATTCAAACCGCGCTTAATTTTTTTTACTAAATCCTTTAAAAGTGTGTAGATTGTCAAGATTTTACCAGCCTATAAACAAATATTCATTTATTTGTGTCCATCCAGTATCCTACCTCCATCCACACATCTCCAGGGCGCCCAGGCCACAGGCTTAAACTAATTAGGCCCCCCTGTTCTGTGTCAATGTTGTCTGCACGCGGCACGGTTTAATGTGTGTCTCCATTAGCTCACCCTCAGTTTAAACACCCTGTGTATACTGACAATTCGCTAAAATTGATTTGTGTGTTTGCACTTTGCTCGGGGGAGTTGATTACCGAAGATGATTCTAGAATTGGCAAAGTAAAAAAGTCATGACGCAAACGCTCTATAGTCGAAAACGAAATAACTTTGAATCTTTTATATAAAAAACGTTTATCGGTTTAAAAATGCGAAATATATCAATTAAGTTTTTTTATTTATTTTAACTTACGTTCTAATACAATCGCGGTTACGGCTATTATATTTCGCGTTTTAAACTGTTAAAAATGATTTAACTTTAGATGTTCTAAATTTAATCCAATTTTTAATAACGACTGATCTAGGTATAAAATAAATTACACAGTGTATATGAACCGTAGCTAAAAATATTGTCATTATATTAGTTGTAACTAGATGGTAGAGGGTCAATTAATTAATAAAAATATTAAGTTTTGGCAAGTCCTGGATTAGTGAAGAATTATTATTTTAAACAATATTATTAATGCATGATATATTTAAAATCTATTTTAGATAAGAAGGTGTGCACGGAACGCCATGCTGGTGGGTTCGAGGCCCGTCTGTCTCTTAGATATTTTTCGATCGAAAATAGATTTATATAAAGATTTTTATAAAATTCCTGGTTATCGAAATTTTTATCATACAGTAAGATACCTTAAAAACAACGATAGTTCGAATTATTTATTTTCGCTGAAAATTAATATGAGGTAGTTAAGACCTTCCCCCCTTGCACTCTTCATATGCAACGTAATGTGGGTTTTACCCACTCCACCATGTGTCACCGTCACATCAGCTTCCGAACGAGATAGGTCACGAGCGATGACACCCTGTTAACAAAAATATCTCTTATTCATTTAACTTTCAAAGGATATTATGAACGGAAGTCAAATTAGTTATGTCATCAGAAAAACCACTTTCTTTCAGGGAAAAATCGATGTAGGCTTCCGCTGCATATGTAAAATTGGTGATCTATAAAATGTATATTTTAAGATTAAATTGAAAAACCTAACAGCTATATTTTTATAATGTTGAGGAGAAGGTTTTAACAAATAATGAGGACGAAAATAAATAGAAATAAATTCACCTTAATAACTCGTTGCTTCGGATCATTATAAGTGTAATCCTTGTCCCTTTTTATTAATGGAATTCCCTTAAACACAAATTTTTCAGTAGATATTAACAAGTTATTCACTCTTGTACCTAATATCAAGTCCTTAGCAACAAGACAGTGCACAAAAAACACTAACAACACAAGCAATGATATTTTTCGCATTATTTCCTATAATTATGTCACAGAGGACATGTTATCTTTCAATGCTTGACTAGACTGAGTCACATGCTTGAGGAAAACGTTATATATTCAAAGGATTTGACCTTGCTATGTCTAAACATACCTAAGTATGACAGGTTTGAATAATTTATTGAATGTTTATATTAAGCAAATTATAAGCATTTGGTACTTTGATATATCATGTTGTGTTCGATAAACCGATAAATTGGTATATATACCTATCATATCTTACTGTCTGTGTTTACGCTAGCAGTGCACATTTAAAGACTTTTAACGGTTTTCCCCAACGAACACGGCCGAAACATCGGGCCATAATTGATTGTAATGAAAAATGTTAACTAATAGATTTCGCGTTTTAAACTAAACATTTTTAAGCAATAAATAGTTTATATGTAAATAAGAAAAAATACCTTTGAGGAACATCAAAACAGAATGTGTAATGTTCCAGGTAATAGAATATATGTTACGTCACATATTGAAAGGATTACAAAATACATACGTATTTTGTTAAAAAGCAATTTCAACATTTAATTGTTTGTTCGTTGCATTTGCGTGCATCACTCCATTAGCTTTTAAGTGACTGCGTCACGTCTAAGATAAACTGAACTAATCTAAAATACCGTGTCAACAATATATTAAAAATATATTGTTGACAATAAAGCACAAAACTGAGAAATTTACTGATCTTTGTTGGGATTCGCTGCAAAATGGATACGGAAGATTTCCAAAAATATATTTGAAAGAATGACTCCTCTTTAAATGATCTAATAAAAGTTTGCGACACTTAAATACTTAAATTTATAAAAATTATTATCCTTACAGGAGGTTTGCAACAACAAATTTGGATGCCCAAAATTACTATTCTATGGGGACGAAGTCGCTGACACAGATTGTATTGTATATTTAAAAAAAAGATCAAAACGACGAGTTCTGCTAAATGTATTTTGGTAGTAAACAAATTATTTTCTACTTGTTTGGATGGAGCTTTGACTAGCAACATGGTTTCACTAGCATGATGATAAAAAAATTAAGAATTTAAAAAACTCGTTTTAATGAGAGATAATCATATAAATTTTCGAACCAGAACGAACTGGTATTTTATAAAGGAATTACGCTCTACATTCTCAATTTTGAAGTGCACTTATTTGATTACCAAGCATTAAATAGCTTTTAAGCTTCAAACATTTTTTAATAAAATTGTGCTCATCATAAGGATAAATATGAAAGTGTGCTCTTTGGTGCAATAAAATATGAAAGCATATAAAAAAACGTAAAATTGCCTTTCAGATTAAAGAGATAAAACTTATGCTATCTATAGAAAAGTGTTTCTGTTGCTAAATAATGATGTTACATGAATAATAAATGTATATCAAAGTTTTAACTATATACATAACTAGCTGTGCCCGCGACTTTGTCCGCGTGGAATAGTTATTTCTGCTTCAAATTTTATTTTGCAAAAAATCTTTATAACTAGCTGAGTCACGCGAGTTCTTACACGTAGAATAGTTGTTTTGGCCATCAAAATTTGTCTTAACAAACCTCTTCATATTTAAAATTGTAGCGGCTACCCTCGTCGTCGTCCACGTCCCTTCGTTCGTGCAAGGTAATTTCAAAGATAGACATATACTGTCGTGGTTATTTTCAGATAATTTAAAGAGAAATCATTCTTTTGCACATAATTATGGAGAACCTTTAACTCGCAGCGCACGCAACTGAAAACTACCTTTTGCCGTTTTTTCCACGTTTCCGGTTCTTGACTCCTATTGAACTATAGGAGCCAGGATTTATAGCCTTCGATTAATGCTCTAACCAACACTATTTTCGAAGAATTTTAAAAATCGAACTTGTTGTTTCCGAGAATCTCCGAGACTAGTTGATTCGAAAAAATGTTCGACTCGGGCAGGACTTGAACCGGCATCGTCAGCGCTCCGTGCTGTTGCTCTACAAATTGAGCTACCGAGAGCAACAGCACGGAACGCTGACGATGCCGGTTCAAGTCCTGCCCGAGTCGAAAATTGTTTCAACATATTTTCGATTTTTAAATTATATATGTACTATACTAGTTTAGTGAAACACAACAAAATAGATAAGACAAGAATGTAGACACGAGTCTTGTTTCGCAGAACAATGTTTAAGTACTGCATTGTCTTCATACTTACGTTAACTCTACGCCGGTCGTTACTTGCTAAGCACATCCTAAGTGCACAACTATTTCACACAATACTTTACATTATTCTCGTTACATGAAGCGGCAATGTATTATAAGTGTTCCTATACTATTATAAAAGCGGAAGAGTTTGTATGTTTGAACGCGCTAATGTCAGGAACTACTCGTTCGAATTGAAAATTTATTTTTGTGTTGGTTACAGAATTTATCGAGGAAAACATTGCGTTGGGTCCAATAGGAGAAAAGAAATAGCGGGAAAGAAAAGTGGAAAAATAATAGGGAAAATTATATATCTCTGTCGGTTGCCGATGCGTACGCTGCGAAAACGGTTTAAGATACCCAGAAAATATGTATGAAATAATGATGCGCCTTTAAATGAAAAATATCTTTTAAGATTAACTTGCAAGAACGACGGGACGCGTCCGACATCGTGGGTAATAACTTAAATTTATAAAGATGAAAAGGAGGTATGTAAAATCAAATTTGGATCCCCAAAATCACTATTCTACGCGGACAAAGTCGCTGACACAGCTAGGATAATAAATAACGTGGTAGCTTTAGAACGCGTAATAAAATCTGCAAACGCATTATGCTGTGAATGTTATTCCAGACTCTGCGTCATCATCTTTGATGTTCTCCGACTTTTTGTTGAACACTTGTTTGATGTGACGAGAAATAAGCGCAGACAAGCATCTCATTCTGATCTTATCAGATTCCAACGATTGTTTTTTTTCATGTGGCCGACAATTCGGTCCAACGAAAAGTACATATAGAAACAATTCATAAAATAAGTTAATAGTTATGTTAAATAGTTAGTTTAGTTAAATTAAATGATAAGTAACTGAATATTATATAGCTGAAGAGTTTGTTTGAACGCACTAATCTCAGGTACTTCTAGTTCGGATTGAAAAATTGTTTTTCGTGGTAGACCATTTATCAAGAAAGGCTTTAGGCTTCTAAACAATAGGCTGCAACCAATAAGAGGGGCAACCAATAAAAAATGCTACAATACGACGACATGATAAACCACCAGATGGAGAAATATGCTTTCATGAAATATAACCTACCTATTATACACCGAGACAATTGCTGATCATTAACCGTTGATGCATGATTGATGCATGATTCAAAACAATAATAAAAGTAATGTGGATAGGTATTATTTTTGGTTAGCATATCAATTTTAATTGTTAAGAATTTTTACACTAATAAGGAACGTATACAGCTTTAAATTAAACACTTGTCCGGCTGCAAAGCACCCGAAACGTCGGGACGCAGCTACAATCATTTGTAGTGAAGTTTACCAAACCATTTCGCGTTTCAAACCGTTAAAATGGTGTTATTTAAACGTGTGCGATTCGAATAAGCTCTATCTGCAATTTACATGTGTCGTAAACATTTTTAACGATTTAATACGCGTAAGTATTTGTTAAACTTATTTACAAATTACAACTCAACCTATACACCTCGGATAGAATAAGATTAAGGCACTGCTTGCGATAGGATCCTATATTGACTGTCTAGACTTAGATCCAATCCAGAGATAGCAGGCGAAGTGAATCGGGATGCAAAATCGAGTAAAGTGAACCATACGTCGCTGGCAATTCCAGGACTGCATTTGCCTTGATTGAGTCGATAGCACAATGCGATTTGTTTAGCTGGGTTTTATTTAAATCCAGCTGGCGTTTTATATATCCTGTATATCTTGTGACAATTGAGATATTTATAACAAAAACTATGATAAAGAAAACGCGAGGAAAAACTAACCGATAAATAGGACGTTAGGTGTTAATTCCATGGGTTAAGGTCTAAAACATGGTCGTGGATATTATTTCATAAATAAATAACTTAGACGGGGTCGTTGGTGTATTGATAGTAATCAATGGTCCAAGATATATCTAATTGATTTATAATTATTCTGAAACATGTTGGATTCGTTTGGAAATCTGTATATTTAATTGCCGGTAGGATTATCGAAATTCCACCCGGGTCATGAAACACCGTCCACAAATGATAAACACGTGAAGTCTAATCGCGTTTCGGTTTCACGCTGTAGATTTCCAAATATCCAAAGCCAAAATAGGTCGGCATTGCATCTTGTATTATATGGCCGAGGTACTTCACGAAAGAACGATATCGAAAACCTAGACGACCTCCTACCAGGTGGACAGACGACCTGGTCAAGTTAGCGGGGAAATGATGGATTTAAGAAGCGAACGACCGGTCGTACTGAAAGTCTTTGGAAAAGACGTATGCCCAGCTGTGGAGACTGATCGTCAGCGTTCCGTGCTGTTGCTCTACCAATTGAGCTACCGAGTCCTCATCACCTCATCGTCGAATTTTTTCAACTTATTGATACATGCACCTCTCGCGCAATGTACTTACGAATGACGTCAATGTTTTGGTCATAACAAACCGAAATATAATATTCAATGCAACAATTGAGTAGATTGGCTTCAAGTTATCAATCCCCCGGCTCTCTTTAGAATTGATATTTCCTTTTTCCGCTGTACAGAGTTAATTGCGTTTCCGCTGGACCCTCATTGTTTGGAATACGTGACGCATTAGCATTAAATTATTAAATTACAATCAAATGGACTTACATTTTATTAGTTGTAGAAGATTTATAACTGCTATATCCTAAACTGTCGATAATAATAGGCCATTAAATATTGTAGCTACTTAGCTTTTCAATAGGTATGATTAATCATTGAATATTAATTTAACGTTTAAGTTAAAATCTAAGCGATAAAAATATTGTTCTAAATAAAACACTTTACTGGTTTAAAACGCGATATATTTTAGTTAAACTTGT